AACAAGCCATAACAACGAACTCGGGCGGAGCAAAGACGCAAGATCAACACACCGTAGTACAGTGAAGTGAAATTATGTTCGTACAGTCGTCCGAAAGGTGGGCGGAGTGCACGTTGCTGCTGCTCCTAAGATTGCGACCCCTTATTCTTTAGATAGAAAAGGGGAAAGGCCATGAGGAAAGGATAGTGGTATTACAAAAAACTATCTCTTCACACCTTGTTCTAATCAGGACAGTTTGACATCAAAAAAGCCACCAGCAAGCACATTACATGTGCATTTGACAAGATGGTGAGATTTGTCCATGAAGCACTTCCAGATAGCACCATAGTCCCGATGAGATGTTGGTGTCAGCCAGTACAGTTCTGATAAGCGTTCACAGAAGTTCTCGGGGGCGGCGTTAGATAGAGCAGAGCCTTCTTAGTTTACACGTATCCCAGGAGAAATTTGTTACGTCGGCCTGCTTCAAGGCTGAACGGGGGAGTCAGATTCAGATAAGCCACAGTTGTTGATTTTTTTCAGGCAGACTGTTATTTCTCATCAGCCTTGAGTTCTGTTAGCACTTTCGATCCAAAATGGCCAGATTTATGAGCATTCCACTTGTCCGTGCTTATTAGCTCCCTCCAAGGTCGTTCTCAACATGCTGGCGAGTCCCAGAAGCCGCAAGTGGCCTGCGATTCTCACAAATCACTTCCATCTTATGGTTGAGCTCGTAAATCGGCTGATTTTGAGGGCTTGAAGCACGAACCAAACCTTCACATATGCTCGGCAGCTCTGCCATGGCCGAAACTGCTGCCGCTGTCTTCTTTAATAGCCGATAACAGGTATCCGACAGTGACAAAAAGCAGAAACCCTGAAATTTTAGAATTCAACACAATATTGTTGTATTTTACCTAAATCTCAATATTTGATAAGTAGTCTAGAAAATATGACAATTTGAGTAACTCAAGAATCCTTGAAGGAACGACAGATGGATGGCATAGAGGTGGTGATGGATATGAATTTATTAATAAGCTGTTCTCAAGGCAGATGTAAAGTGGGAACGGACTCTAAAACACCTGCTAGAGCAGGAAAACTAATCAAACAATTAAAAACAAGTAAAACAATATTACAGAGATTTTTATCAGTTCATCTTAGTTTTTTATTTAGAAGCCCTAAAAAAACTTTAAACTTCTTACAAATCCTTTTAAAAACTAATTTTTATCTGTTAAAATTCAGTGTGAAGAAAAAAACCTTCACAGAAATGTCATTTTTATGCCCCTAATAAACAAAAATTGTAAAAAATAATAATAATTGAGACGTGTATAAATACATTAAATCATTTTATTCATTGGTAAAAAGTGAACAAAAGAGCACCTGAAGCTATCGTCAAACATCACTTTGAAAAAAAAAAAAATCACAATTCTCACACCCAGTTGGTTTGACACCCTAAACTCTGTGAGAAGGGCTGTTAAAATATTCAGATTCTCTAAGACCAAGTACAGTTAAAGCAGAAAGATTGGTCTTCTTTTATGTACAGACTTATTAACAAAGTCATGCAAAATTAAATAAATTCTGACATCGAAACTTACAACTGGATGGACTTTCTGTTTAACTACAGGTTAAGGCAACGGAAATAAATTCCTTTCACCAACATCATAAAGTCAGGAATGAACCTAAAATAATTAGGTTTTACATTCTACAAAAAGGATGTAAAACCAATTAATTTACAATAAAAATAACTTGGTACAGCTTTTTTTGCACAGTGCAGATACAAAACTGGAAAAAGCCCTTGCGATCTGTACATACATGGCTTTTTCTAACACAAAACTGAAAAAACAAACAATAAAAAAAGAGCATCCAGAGTGCATAAGAAACCATTAAAAGTTAACACACACTCTGATTAGATCACATAGAAATAGTCGTAGTAATAATGATGATTAAAAACAGAACTACAACAATTAATTTTACTGTTTGATCATGTAATCCCACAAAAATCAAGATTTGGATTAAAGTGCCCCCTGGTGGTTTATATAAGTTACTGCAGTCATAAAGTGTTTTTTTTTTTTTAAGTTTCTACCCCAAAAAATGAATTTATTATCTTTTCAAAATCTTTTTTTTAGCAACTATAAGGAAAATACAAATGAACAGTTAGATGCTGAAGAGGGAGATTAGCCTTTATCTAAGGAATTTAGATTTTTTTTTTTTTACTCCATTGAAACTGACTCCGGTCACAGCTGGCATTCTGAAATTATACAACAAAGCGGCTGCTCTGATTTAATGGAGAGTCACATAACAGAATATATGCGCTGTGTGTTGACAGAGTAATATTTATGATTTACTTAATGACATGTTGATGTCATTCTAACAAGATTTTGATGCTGAAAAACTAAAAAAAAGTGTGTTTCTTAGCTTTGGTGGTCACATGTGAGGTGTATCGTGGGCTCTTCCTGCAGAAACAAAGACGTATACCCAAAGCTGTCCTTCCTTCAAAAACAATTTTCCGACTAATAGGACATTACATTAAACAATACTTACATATTAGTCTCAATTTAATATTTGTTGCGACAAATAAACATGCTTCATCAGTTTTAGCTAAACCTTAAGAGTCCTTCATCAAATATAACGGCTCCATGAGAAGTGTCACTTCGTATTTATTACAGAAAATAAGACATTTTGGAGTCCATTAGTGACGTGAGTTTGCTGTGATGAATTTGAACAAAACTCAAGTCTATCCTTTCACTTTCTGGACATTTTAGTACTTCATAAATAAGACAGCAGGACAGCAAACAAAGCAAAGTGCATCAGGGTTCAAATAGGGGAAAATTGTTCACAACAAAAAATACAAATAAAATCAGTTTTATCATTTGCGGTCAACAGATACAAACATTCTTCTAGAATGAGGAAAAACAAAAACATTTTTGGAGCCGTTAAACTTATACCTCGTTAAAAAAAAAATCCTTCCTCCGCTCCGGTCGCAGTGCGGCATATAGTGCAAAATTTGTTCTATTTCCAGTCCATAGGACCGCATGTCTTTCCTATACAGTGTTTAGCCAAGCAGCTCGCTTTCATTTTGCCGCTGTAACTGAGGAAATTTGATGCACCGCAGAGAGAAGCGGTACCTGGTGATTATTGCTCAGGCTAACTTTCAAACAATCATTTGCATATCCTTTGTATGAACTTGGAAAGTCAACTCAAGTTTCCCTTCTAACCTTTTTCTTCTGAGAGGGTTTCAGAGGCTCCACAGACTTCTCGGACTTCTCTGTGAATAAAATAAAAAGGCAGACAAACTGTTAACACACAAACAATAGCTTTCTGCTTGAACTTCTGGCCTTGCGCGCCTCGCTGTGACTGAACTGATGAGACTCACTCTGAGAGGACGGCATGCTGGTGTTTTTTAATTTTGAGGGAGGCGCAGGAAGCTCTTGAGTTTTGGTTGCTGCACTGACTGTGGGAGCTTGGCTCTGTGTCTGTAATCCAACAAGCACAGGAAGGTTTCAGGTTAAACGCACAAGTTAACAGGATTCAAAAACATTCATGGTAAAAACCTCATGTTTGTTTCTTGCCTGAGAATCCAAAGTGGGCTCCTCTTCTGTTTTCTTCTTCTTCCTCCTCTTTTTAGATTTCGCTGCTCCCCCGGAGGGATCCTCCGAGTCCTTCTCATCATCCGATACCTGAAATAAAACAACAATAAAACATGTAAGTTAATATTTATATAGCATAATCTACATTTTTATGGCGGGAAATACTAAATAATAAAAAAAAAAACTTGCATATTTTAGAACAATAAAGTCTTAACGGGGTGAGCTATACATGCACAGTTTAAATGTTACAACCATAAAGACTTAAACCTTGATGAGGGCAGCAGGAGGCTTCGACAGAGAAGCTGCTGGCATCAGCACAGGTGGTTCCTCATAATTTCCCCAGTGCTCTACTGGGGCATTCCAGTCAGAGGAGGGATCTGTTGCTGCCATCCCATCTATAAATCAAACAAAGAGAGAAAAAAGATCTCAACAGATTCCCAAATAAACACTGATGAGTCTGTGATGACTACTTACTGAATCCTGACCATTCACCATCAACGTCAGGGCGGTTCGTCCACTGCAGCTCCGATGATTTTGAGAACGAGTCTGAGGAAGACAATAAGTAAATCATGATGTGTTTTTAAAATGACACATCCAGGTAGTAGGGTATGTTTATAGCTGTAAGTACTAACCTCTCGTATTTCGTCCTAGGACAGAGAAGGACGTGGCCTTTATCCGACCATCACCATTAATGTTGCTCCATGCTGCTGGAAGCAACACAGAGAAAAGCATTTAGCTGATTTCGTCATCAAATCTGGCAGATCGGCTTTGTAATTAGCAGATAAAATCTTGCTTTTGATGTGCAATCTCTGCATTTTTTAAAAGAGGAAACAAGGCACACATTTAAACAGCAAATATCTGGATACGTCTTTATATGAAGTCAAGTCAACTTTATTTATAAAGCACATTTAAAACAACAGCTGTGACCCAAGTGCTTAACAATAAAAACCAATGGGAGTAATTTAATGGAAAAAATAAAAATAAATACAACAACAGTACTGAAAATTAATTACAAGCATCAACAGAAAAACAGAGAAACGCAGAGCAATAAAATACTAAATCGAGCCGCACTGTAAAAAGCCAGAGAAAACAGATGAGTTTTTTAGTAGAGATTTAAAAACAGGAAGTTAAGTGGCCAGCCTGATGTTGGGGGTGGGGGGTGGGGGCAGGGCAGATTGTTCCAAAGTTTGGGGCCCACATCTGAAAAAGCTCGATCACCTCTGCGCTTCAATCATGTTTTTGGAACAGCCAAAAGCAGCTGATCAGCTGATCTCAGGGCCCGAGAATGAACATATGGTTGCAGTAGCTCAGAGATATGAGGGTGTAACGCCATTAAGGCACTTAAAAGTACTCATTAATTTGAAACAAGAAGGTGTTTCCAACCCGTCGAGTGGTGATGATCATCTGCATCTGTCTCATGAGCGTCATCTAAAGTGCAACAGACAATGTTGGAGCAGGTTGTGACATAAACTGCACTCAGCACCCAATCTCACTAAAACAAATCCTGTTTAGTTTGCATTCTTCAAAGCCACATGGAGGGTAAAGGTCCAATACGAAGAAAAACTGAAGACTGGCTCAATTAGGCAAACTAAATCATTTAATATAGTTTTTTTCCCTGAAAGCAGTTTGTATAAGTTTATACTTTTATAATATGATGTCTCTCTGATGCCTTTTATTATACACAATGAAGAAACTTGTTTTTTTTTAACAATTACTCTAAATAAGTTTATATTGTAACGTCTAATTTTTGGCATTTAAAAATGTTGTCTTTGCATTGTTTTCAATTAAATGCAGTGTTTAAATGTTTGAAAATGAGTGTGTTCTGTGTTAGCCTTCATGAAACTGGACAGGTTTGCTGCATTTAAAAACTGGCCTATTCAGAAGAGGGTACCTTGTGGCTCCTGAGCCCAGGGTTGTGGATCAGTCTGAGGTCTGTAATGTGCAGTCGCAGTTATGGGAGTCCACTTTGTTCCCTCCATAGGACCCATCTGACCAGGGACTTTCAAGGACACATCAGACCAGCTGCCATCGGTGACTGAAGGCTCCGCTTTCCATGTGGAGGAAGCTGAAAAACCACAGAAAATTGAATTACATGGATTTAAAAGGCAGTTTTATTAACCACTAGCAGCTTAAATTTAATATACATCAGAGGAATATTGTTTGGAAAGGTAGTTTTACTGTCACACAAAATCATCTTTTATCATTTTAGTTTTAAATTTTATTCAATTCAATTCAAAAATACTTTATTAATCCCAAAGGGAAATTATTTGTTGTTGTAACTCGTTATCCTCATTTCATTAAGAGATGTTATAGATACTGATGGCTGTAGACAGGAAGGATCTCTTGTAAAGGTCCACCCCACAGTGGATCCTAAGAAACTGGCTGCAGATGCCGTCCGATCCGTCCACCCAGACTCAGCTGGCCTCTCGGTTCCCCCGGGCTGTAGGACCGCCTGAATGCCGGGCAGAACTCCTGCAGAGCGATGGCCACTCCTCCCAGCAGTCTGCCGAGCTCCTCGTCGCTGCGGACAGCCAACTGTAGGTGCCGAGGGACGATCCTGTCCTTTCACTGTCATGAACCGTGTTTCCTGCTAGTTCCAGGATCTCAGTGGTCAGACACTCGAGCACAGCTGGCAGGTAGATGAGAATGCGTCCACAGAACATCCTTTTCAACTCATTTGAGATTTGGGGCTGTAGTTGAGATATTATTTGAGCTTTTGAGATGTTAATCAGCTGCTGTTGGTTGTAGAAAACTGCCTTGTTGCCATGGTTACGCATCATAACAAATGTCCAAAACTAAAAAGTTTCAGTAAAAATCCTTCCCGCTGCACAGCATCCGATACCAGAGGAAACAATCATCCAAAAAAAGTGATTTACATCCAGAAAAAGAGGAATTAAAGTTTCCAAAAGCAAAATCTCAGAATGAAAGTAACAGAGCTGCTCCAACATGCAGCCACCTTGAGCGATGCAATTCTAGAACTGTTGACAACAAAGCTACAATTGAAAGAAAATGACTCCGCCTTTAACTGTCGTAGACACTGAATGATGTTTGGTACATATGTAAAACGGAGCAGTTCCTAAGTGCTCTCTTCCATTTAATATTGAATATAAACAAAACTTTACTTCTAAAATAAAGAGGGTAAATGCTTCAGCATTGTTTTTACCAGTTCCGCTGGCTGCCTCCCCTTTCTTGGTCATTCTTGAACGCTGGTTCTCTGAAACAAATTCAGAACACAAAGTTTAGATAACTGCACTCCGACTATAGCAACTTAACCAGTTAAAAACGTTACGACTCTAAACGACTTTGTCCTGACACTTGGAGGTCAGACTACACTTGACCATTCGAACAAACGCAGCGAGGCTCATTTGCAGTTTATTACCATGGTTTCCTTTGTTCCTCTTGGCGGCTACAGGCGCCTCCATGTTGGTTTTTGGAGCGTCAGCTCCTCCTGAGCTACCTGAATCCTCAGAGCCTTTTTCCTTCCTGCGCTGCTGTCTCTTTTCCCGGTTGCTGACTTTGGTCTCCCACACACCTGATGGACATGAACACAAAAAACTAAATTTTCATGTGAACACATTATGGTGAGACTTTAAACTAGATCTGTTAGGTGACACGCAACAGTTTGAAAACGAGAATTTCTTATAAAATTGTCTGTCAGCTAAGTTTTACCATCATCAGGTTCCCTCCCATCATTTGAAGATGACTGTTGAACTGGTTTCACATCTGGTTTGGTTTTCTTCTTACTCTTTTTCACTTGAACTGAGGTCTGTACCTCGCATACCTGAGAAATAACAATGATAATAATAATAAAATAACAATCCTGGCTTTTGTTTATTTGTCTATTTATGGCATGATGTGGCAAATCTAAAAGCAACAAAACTATTTTATAAAACTAAAAAAAGGCACACTATTGTGTCTACACTGCCCAACAAGGAGCGTTTCAGATCCCTTTAAATCTGGTCGTACCTTCCCAGCTTTAATCAGTCGGGATATTTTGGAAACTGTCACAGTCTCTTTGACCTCCTCTTGAGCCACAACCACAGGCTGTCCATTGGACTGAGACTTCTAGAAAAAAAAAGTAAAAAAATCAATAAAAAATCCCAAAATGATGAGCGTTTGGGAATAAACAAAAACAGAAATCTTAGGTACTTTTTAGCAATTAACAAGTCTGTTTAAAACACGGTTTTATAGGAGCTGACTATCATATGTGCAGATGTTAAAAACAAAAAACTACCGGTACATCCCTAAGTTAGTTTTAATTTAAAAATAATTATTAAAAGTAAAAAAGGGCCCTGTTAATAGTGACACTTTATCAAAAAAAAGAAGAAACACTTTTTTTGTGCCGAAACGTTTCACCTTCCATCCAGAAGGCTTCATCAGTCAAGGAATCACACAACACAAAACTAATTCTTCCTCCAAACAGCTTACTCCAAAGTGAAACAAAAAAAACAGTTATGTTGGTGCTAAGATGGTGTCTTTGGCACGCCCCCTCCTCCGATGCCGGCCCTCTTCTTCATCGACAGTCATGACAAACTGGTTCAAAACCAACAAAGTCCATGCTCAATAATCCAGGTATACAATCCAACTATTTTCAGTCAGGTCATCTGGACAGCATTCAAATCAAATTTTCTCTGCATTGTTGGTTTATTTTGTGTTAATAACTGTGGTTTTTGACTTTTACATCAGCATTTAAATAACTAAAAATGTTCTTTATTTGTGGAGTGGCAGAAAACACTACTAGGCAGTTCTGATGACTAGTTGGCTCTGTGAAAAAACATCTGTATAATGACAGATACACATTTTAAATAATATTTTACTCTTTTCAAAGCATTTATTTTTTTTTATTTTGCGCCTATTATTATTATTTCTGTAGACAAATAATTTGGAGCTGTTTTAGTCCAAAACATAGACAGCAGTCTCTGATGGCATCAGGCAAAGATATACGATATTGTTTTAAATAAAAATAAACAAATGTCTTTTATTTGAGGATATCAGGAGCCAAGATCTGAACAGTCCAGACCTCATCTGGTCCTGTTGTACCTTCATTTGATTGTAGATTATAAACTGTAAACATTTAAATGAGACATAAATAAAGCTCTTAACTATGCCCTGAACAATGACGCGTCAGTTAGCAACACATTCAGCTAGTTAGCATCTCGGGCTACATCACATTAGTTCAAGGTATTTTTACTTTAGGTGGCTAAATTTAAATGGGTTTTATCCTCGAATGACTTCATCTTTGTTGTGTAAACAAAGCGGGCTACTGTAGTCTACGAAATAGCAAACTGGCGTGAAATTGTTAAGCTTTTGTCAACAAATTGCCATGGATGGATGAATTTTATGCAGTTTGATCAACAGTGAACACCTGGAGCCGCAGGAAAATCCATTGATTTGACTCAATCGCCGTGATTTTAAGTAAACTTGTTACCTTTTCGGTCGTTTTTTTCTTGCTCCTCTTCTTGTGCTCCTCTGGTTTGACACTCTTGATGGGGTCGTCCTTGCCTGGCTCCCCCTCGCCGCAGACTCGGTTGGACGGAGACCCTCGCTTCTTCCCGCAGACGGCGGCCCAGGAAACGGCGAGAAGCAGCAGGAGACCAACGGCAGCCGTGGACAGAATGACCCAGGTCGGGTAAAGCTCGGGCTTCAGACCCAGGTCCACCCCGAACTGGGTCTGGACAAAGCCCTGTCCCGAATACACGAGCTCCTTTAAACGACCCGAAAGGAGCTCTGCTTTCTCCAGCACTAAACTCTTCAAGTCCCCAGCCATGTTGACAAAATACGTAAACATTAGCTGCTAGCTTTCATTTCAAAGTACGGTGGCCGAGAAGGGTGAGCTCTGAACTCACTGCTCAATCTTCATTTTGAAAAACACAGCTTATAAAATAATAATAATAAAACTGTGTATTCCCAGTCTCCCACAGAAATTTCTAGACTCAACTACAAAAAAAGCAAATTTATTTGACTGTACATAATAAACTATTACAATTTTCAGAGTTAGATTATCTTGACCTTTTTGCAAACTGCCAAGCAAAAAAATCTACCAAGTTCTTTTGGTTTTTGTTTACTGCATCTATAAACTGAGTTTAAGTCAGTCACAAAAATATACATAGTTAATTAACATACAAAGACAGTATCTGTATTCAACTTAGCCAAACAAATGAATAGATCAAATGTAACAAATAGCCATAAAAAAAGAAAATACTCCCTCTTTCAATTTCAAAGTGTTCAGTGTTAAATTAAACTTATTTGCAAATAAATAGTTATTGAATAAAAAAAAAAAATGCTTTTAAGTTTCTGAAAAGTGGTGTTTTTGAGGTGTTGTAATCATCTGCTTCTTATCAGGTTTTAAAATGAGATAAATACATCAGGAAACAAAACAAGTTACTGCTGGTAAAGCTTGTTTCTAAATTATTCAGTCAGTGTGGACTTTTTCTATTCGTCACTTTTTTCCCCCAAAAACAAGAATTTTTTTTCCAAGATGCAGCTTCTACATTTTGACTTTTCATTTTTTTTAATAGTTAATAATATATATTTATAAATAACTAATAACAAGGTCATATGTCTTGCGTTGCACATCTAAGATTTAATTTACTGTTTAAAACCTGATAAGAAACTGATCATGTTATTTTACAGTCGCGATATGTAAAACTTCTAATTAATTAGAATATAACTACTTTTGACAACAACCTTATATAAAAGAGTCATCTCAGTTTCAAAAGTCTGCATCCAGAGTGAATTCACAGTCCATCATGTTTGACATCACTCCAAATTTCTGATACTCAGCAACTCTTTTCTCAAAGAAGTTAGTTTTTCCCTCCAGAGAAATGGATTCCATGAAGTCGAAAGGATTTTCCACATTGTAAACCTTTTTAGGGGAGAAAAAAGGTTATTAACACCAAAATACACATTTACACATATCCCTAGCATACAAATGAACACATTTTAATGATATGTAATTATTTTTCAGTAAAATGATACATAGAACACTGACTATTCTTAGACCTGTAGTTATCACAATGCTACATAAACTTAACTTGTCTAGTTTAAACTCGCTGTATGAATATTTAAATGGAAGTACCTTGACAAGTCCGAGATCAGCGAGGAGACGATCGGCTACAAACTCTATGTACTGTTTCATGAGGGAACAGTTGATTCCAATTAGATCAACCGGAAGTGCCTCTGTCAAAAACTCCTGTAGCAAGAAAAAGGAGATGAACATTTACAGAAATGCAGCGATAATTAATATTCAGTTCTTTCCAGAAGAAAAATGGCACATGTTAATAAATAAATATTCTGACCTGTTCGATGCGAACAGCTTTGTTGATAATATCTTTGACTCTGTCCTCCGAGGGCCTTTTCACCAGGTAGCTGTACAGCAGGCAGGCAAAGTTACAGTGCAGACCCTTGGAAAGAACGTAAAACACGTATTAGAACGGCTGACGTGAAAACAGAAATACTTGATAACTTTTTAAATCTGCAAACGGGGGTTTTCCTGATGTTTGAGGAAGGCTTTGATGCTGTGTGTAGACGAGGTACATTTGGTATGGTATGGTATAAAGTTTATTCATTTAAAAAAAGTACAAAACAATTCCATAACAATATAAAAAAAGATACAAAAGATTTAAAATGAAAGGCAGCAGAAAGAAGAAAAAATCTTATTATATCTGCCCCTTTTTTTCAAACAATTATTTCAATCATAATAATTTTCAAGTAACAGAACAAAATGAATAACTCTTTCTAATTTTTCTAATTCTAATACAAAACAAAACACATTTGCAATTTCAGACTTTTTTTTTTAGCTTTATTTATAACAACCTCTTGTTTTTTTCTCAAACAAAATCAATTTGACAAGCTATCATTAGATTTTTTAAAGGATGCACGATATTGGATTTTTGGCCGATATCCGATACCAATATTTTTTTCTAAGACCTACCTACAGAGACTACATCGTTTTCTCTGCTGTGGAATTAAAATACCACATTATTCTGCATGGTCTTTGTCAATTTGACCTACTACCAAATGCAAATGCCCAAAAGGGGGCTGAAAATGATGTAACACTTCAACTTAGATTATATTTAATGTCAAATTCATTCATGACATTTACTCTCTCTAACACAATGACAAGACTTGAACAGTGCTAATTTGTAAATTTTTACAAATCTAAACTCAACCTGTTTAAAAGCAACAAGTGAAAAGTGCATAAGTAGTGCATTAATAGATATACTTAACAATTTCTTAAATTAAATTAACTTAAAACAGAAACCTTTTACATCGGTGAGTTATTTGATGGAATGTCCGATATTTTAACTTTATCGCTAACATCAGCCGATACAGATACATGCTGATAATATTGTGCATCCCTAATTTTTTTTAACAATTGTTGGTTAAGTTGGACTAAGCAAGCATTTCTAGACAGACTACATTACCAAAATGTCTGATTCTTTAGAAATGAAGACTTTAAAAATGATTTTTTTTAAATATACTTATGTCAGGGAAAAAAGTACTGGAAGAACAGAAGTGTTTAGATTATATAGAAACCTACAGTCATCCTCACACGAGAACCAAAGCCTGTGCTGGTTAAACCTATAATTCTTTTAAATAATCTGGCTTATAGATAAACCCTAAAAACAGAAATCTTTAACCTTTATTCTTCAGATATAATCCTGTTATAAATGTTCTCTACACTAAAGATAAAACCACCTCAGTGAGTGAGGTTATCTGAAATTAATTTTCTGTCATTCCCTCTCCAACATATTGTGTTTTAGTTAAGTCATGGTTTTGATTAATCTTTAAAATGTCTTAAAAGATTGCGTTGGGTATAAAAATGATCATTTACTCACGAGACACTTTGGTAAGTATGATGCGCTCTCAGTTGTTATGAGTAAACAGCATGATACATGATACTTGGATAAACAAACTTTAGAGCAATCCATGTTTGTTTTAGGCCAAACAAATATGAGATCTGATCAGAGTTTTCATCTTCGTGGAAGTCAGTGTAACTTGGAGACATTCTCACTGTCCACACGTCAATTTTTATTTATTTTCATTTCCTAAAGGCATTCGCTGGTCCGATCCAGAAAACCCCAGCATGCGTTAGCATGATGACAGATCCAAGAAAACACAACCAGATCTTTGATACTAAAAACCTTGAACTTCACCTGAGGTTACCCCACTCGGCTACTAACACCTTGTTCATTAAACTCTGCTTTGGAAAATTTCTGGCATTTGTGTTAAGTTTGAACCTTTTACTTTGTTGCCTTTCACACACCCATTACACGAGAGGAGCTTCTCCACTTAAAAACATGGTTACATGAGGGAATAAACCAGTATCTTCTGGATAGAGAACACAAAAAATAGGACAAGTTGTGGAAAACACCATTTTGTTATCAACTGTGGCTATAATAAAAATAAACATTGTGTTCTCTTTCCTATAACAGAATATACAGCATATGTTTGCAGCTGCATTTCAACAGGTTAATTGACATGCAGTTGTGAGCTGATTTATTTCACCTCATCCCTGCTGATTAGTTCATTGGAGTAGGTCAGGCCAGGCATGAGGCCTCTCTTCTTTAACCAATAGATGGCAGCAAAAGAGCCTGAGAAGAAGATGCCCTCCACTGCTGCAAAAGCCACAAGTCGCTCTCCTGAGGATGGAAAAGTCATGGTTTATAATTTGTTAAAAACTGAGTTATATTAAGCTATTCTTAATTTTCAGTTCTAGGTCTTTGAACATTGTTTCGTCTTTACCAAAGGTGGACTTGTTGTCTTTTATCCACTGGAGGGCCCAGTCTGCTTTTCGTTGGACACAGGGCATAGTCTGAACGGCGTTAAACAGATAGTCCCTACAACACAAAAACTATAACTAATTACAAAGAATTTAACATTAAAGAACAGTGTATAATAAGTTAACAGCCATTTCCTGCAACACTGGAACAAACATGCGCAGAATGCAATCAATGCAACACACAAATAGTTAAGGCAATGTGTATAGCTTGTGTTTAATGTTGAAGCTGCAGCAGCTGGGAATGAAACCAACTCTTTACTAAATTTGTTGACACCAAAAGTTCTACAAAGTCCCTACAAGTTAACTGACCTCTCCTTCAGGTCTTGGATGTAAGTGTTGATGAGCATACTGTACATCTCCGAGTGAACAGTCTCTATGAGGATCTGGAAGCTGTAAAACGAACGCGCTTCAGGGAGCTGAACTTCCTGACTGAACCTTTGCACCTGTTGTGAAAAGGAAAAAACTGTTGAACCGCAACGGGTAAAACCACATTTCTGTCAGATTGCCACTCATACAATCAGATAATCACAATTAACGAGCGTGATCCAGCATCATAGTTGCTCACTAACATCAGTTAAAAAAAAAACAAAAAAAAACAGCAGTGCATTAAATGGCAGTACAAGAAATATTAAATCTTGCTCTGGCTTGAGAATCAGCAGGCGAACATTTCACTCCTCGCTCTCACCAGGTTCTCGTTGACAATACCATCACTAGCAGCAAAGAAGGCCAAGACGTGGGAGATGAAGTGTTTTTCTTCAGGCTTCAAACGGTGCCAGTGCACCAAGTCTTTGGAAAGATCAACCTGGAAGACATTAATGCACTGGAGTCAGATTATTTAAGGTTTTAGAGTTATAAGCTGTGATAGGAGACAATAATTTGCCAGTGGATTTTGGAAAGTAGATGCATTTTTGCACACTGAGCCTTCATGAAATTGTAAAACCCACCTCCTCCACTGTCCAGAAGGAGGCCTGCGCCTGCTTGTACATCTTCCAGATGTCCGGATGCTGGATGGGGAAGATGACGAACCGCCTGGGGTTCTCCCGGAGCAAAGGCTCGTCCTGGGTCTCCGAACCACTCCGACACTCCGCATTTTGTTCCTTGAAGCCGTTCTGCAAGAAACCGGTTACTTTTCTTTCGTTTCTGTTTTGTTGCGAGTTTCTCGGTGCACTCGGCTTACTTCACTTACGCATGCGCAGTCAGTCAAAACAAACGGCACGAGACAAAGGACGTTTATAAAGTAAAAAGGCACAAATCTGACATTTGCTGTGTCACTAATACTTAAACGAGTCCATGAACGTCAACGTTACTAGTAAGTCAAATCTCTCTGTAGTCAAACAGTCCGTTATATATGATAATTAAACTGCCAGCTTACATTTAGTTGACCATTTTCCTGCGAAGACCTTTTCACCGTCGGTGTCATTTTGAGGAAGTTAGCTTCCTCTTGTTAGCTGTAGCTCCTCCGAGCCATATGTCAGCGTAGCTTCAAATGACAGAAACACAAAAGATGCAGCGCCCCCCAGTGGTCACAGGCGGCACAGCAGATGTTTTAAAGCCTGTTTATCATATATATATATATATATATATATATATATATATATATATATATATA